GGGGGGGGGGTATTTTAACCCAGGAGTGGAGTGCTTATTTTTTCCTCTTTGATGTAAGTTGGGAAGTGGTGTTGATGCCATTTTGGAACTCGAAGACTTTAGTGCGAGACTCGCCGGCCGACTTAACTCCTTTCAACTTTCCTTTTGCTTTCATACTTTCAATTCAAAGGCTTATTTTGTCGTTCAGCCTGGTGTATGAAAACTAAAAGTAACAATCTGAGCGTCTGCGTTATCACAAACAAGACATTTTTTTATGAATTCCTTTTACTTTATTACCTGATTGTAGAAACACACACTCTACACACACAAGCTAAAATGTAATTAGGCTCATTTTTCGCTAAGGGCTTTTGTATTTCCTTTTTTTTGAGAGATAAGCTTTTTCATCATGTCATATGGTCCCTTCTTTGATGTTGATACCCGCAGATTTGTTCTCAAAGATAAGAAAAAAATTACTTTATGATGACAATTTTTATGCACCTAACGTAATATGCAGATAAGATGGCAGGCCCACAGAGCGTCACAAAACTTGTAATCGAGCCGGTTTTGACAGCTTCCCGACCGCTTCTCATTCATTCAGTTTCTCCCTTTTTCTTGCACCCGTGAACTGTCAGCATGTTCGGCGCTTCTTTGATGTGGTAATCGCTCTTCAGAACGGTAGATGATTAACGGGAGACATTTCACCAAAACCACAAACATTTTCGCGGTGCGAGATCTTCTGTATATATCTCTTTGGGCGGATCTGGAAGAAGATCGGAAGAGGTTATACTTTCTTTTCCTTCCGTCCATCAACACAACTTGAGCTGCGACATCCGTGTTTTGCCCAACGGCGGTATCACGTGATGAGATCAAAGAATCCTGAGCACGACGTAGACTGGAGCCGCCGAAAAGTGGCAGTTCCAGGTCCGGAATAAACCTTATATACGGGGCGGCTGGAGCAGACGATTATAATAACGATGTGGCTAGATATGTGAATGTAGAATAGATCATACCCCACCCCACTATCTTACCGTACCACGACAACCACATCCTTTTCCCAGTTCGAGATAGCTGCAATCACACCGTGACCTCCACTGTGACCCGAGATATGGTCACTAGGACATGCAGTTCGAAGTGGCAGGTGGAGGGGGATTAAAGGGGGGGGGGGGGGCGCTGATAAATTTACTTTTACTGCTACATCTATTTGTCTGAGCTTAGGGTATAGGCATGACGTCATGCCGGACAAAAATACAATTAAAGTAAAGTATCTTTTTAAAAGATGTTCCTGGTGCCGACCTCGACTGACAGTACACTATATATACTCAACCTTCTCGTTTCGACAATATCACATAGTGTGTACACTTAATATCTTCTTTTTTTTTTTTACGATTCCTTCAATTGAATTGCAGAATAGCTTCTGCTCTATCTCGATGCACGGTTGAAGCATCCCTTACCCCTACGCCATCTTTCAGATTATTATATTTACAGAGGTCTGTATCATGGTACAGAACTCACCGGGGGATTTTATGAACCCATATCATTTCTGCAACTACTCAAATTATGCAAAATTTGTCTTGTGCTGCTAGCAACGAAACAATAACCGTTATATCATTGTTGCACTTATTGACACCCAGCTCTTTGTTCTGTTGCTCATTGAACGATCCCCCTCGATCTTTGTAGTGGGTTCTGGTCTCTGTGGAATAATATTTGACAATTCCGTGATCTAAATGGGCCTATTATATGATAAAAGCTTCATTGTGAAGGGAAAAACACGCAGTGTATAGGCTTAGTGTCCAGCTAGGAATAACAAACGATAAAAAATCCCCAAATCAATGTGGGAAGGTTGTATCTGTCTTTTTATCCAAGCCCCTCCTTTTTCCCTAAAGACCGGTTTTTCGTTCATTTCTGTTACCTTAATGCTAACCCCGTGGTGATGACATATTCAGCACCCAGTCCTAACCTTCTCTTTCTCTCTCTCTCTCTCTCTCTCTCTCTCTCTCTCTCTCTCTCTCTCTCTCTCCCACTCATCTCCCCCCTCCCTCTGCATGGAATAAACACCCATGCAATAAAAAAAAAATCACTAGCCTCTAGCCTCTCACTTCTTTTCTTTAGTTACAGTTAACCCCTTTCCTACATTCTGTTTCACAATGCAGTAAGAAAATTATCCCCTCCTCCAACAAAAAACAAAAAAAGAAGAAAGAAATGAAAAATAATGGGAAACACCTTAGTGTTGGGGATCCCCGCATCTTCATCGCAATCAAACGCCTTATCGTTCTGAATTGCCAAAGTTTCATCGCTACCATGGCAGATTTCTGTTCTGGTTCTAAGATTTGGTAATGAAACAATGAGGACTCACTGTTTAGTCTAGTCTTGCCTTATCAAATATTGTACTGGCTGGCAGGGAGAGGAAGTAATTGGATCCGTTGTGCAGTTACCATGTTATTTCCGTGCACTCAACCTCTATATTATTGTGGTACATCTGTCATGAGAACAAAGCTCAAAATAATTCTGACGCCGTTGACCATTATACGCAAATTGATAATATAGTACCGACAACCTTCTTCTCTTATCTTGCATCAATCTTTCTGGCAGTTTTCATGCATTCCTTCTCTCCCCCCCCCCCTCTCTCTCTCTCTCTCTCTCTCTCTCTCTCTCTCTCTCTCTCTCTCTCTCTCTCTCTCTCTCCATCCCTCCCCTCCTCCCCTCTCTGTCTCTCGTTTTCTCTTGATCCCTCTCGTATTCATCTTCAACATCCACGAGAATCCAGCC